TACCAACACGAAATATGTACACACCAACACAAAATATGTACACACCAACACAAAATATGTACATACCCACACGAAATATCTACACACCAACACGAAATATCTACATACTAACACAAAATATGTACATACCAACACAAAATATGTACACACCAACACAAAATATGTACACACCAACACAAAATATGTACACACCAACACAAAAGATGTACATACTAACAGGAAATATGTACATACTAACACAAAATATGTACATACCAACACAAAAGATGTACACATCAACACAAAATATGTACACACCAACACAAAAGATGTACACATCGACACAAAATATGTACACACCAACACAAAATATGTACATACCAACACAAAAGACATGTGATTTGAGGTCCTTGAGCTATAAGTTTTGTAAAGTTACCAAATCTAAATTAATTTTGATGGCTGTAAATCCATATTTCATAAAAATATTTAACATTTCTGTATCTACAGGCTACAACTGAAAGTAATCTATGTCTTACATTTTAATAAACTTGAGCTGTAGACTGTGCTTCTCAAATGTGTAGGATTTTGTTTTAGTTCATGTTTTGAGAAAAACAGTTAAGATAACTAAAATAGATTTTTAAAAGTGCAGTAATGTGAGACATTTTAAAAAGTTCTTATATATATTATCTCATTGAAATTTCATTGACCATTTTTTCAGGTCACTCGACTAGAAGGCCAAGTTATAAGGTACAAAACTGCTACAGAGAATGCAGAAAAAGTAGAAGATGAAATAAAAGCTGAGAAAAGAAAATTGCAAAGAGAGGTGAGAGAGTTCTGTAGAAAAAAAGAAAGGGGGGGCTACAAATATCTGGGTTTAAAACGTTTTCTGAAATGGCAGTTCTTTTACAATTTGAAGTTTTAGTAAATTCACTCTGAAGATTAACTTCTTAGTATACATTTAAAATATACCTGCATGAAAATGTAAAATAGTGTTAGTTCTGAATGGTATGGATTACTGGTCATTTTTTCCACATTGTATGGTTTTATGTAATAAAATCAAAGAAAGCTAAATCCAAGACTATAAGATAGAATTTGAGTATGTTTATATATGTGTGTGTGTGTTTTGTGAGGATAAGTAACCCTGCTTATTCATTGTTTTACACTTAAAATGAATATATACATTCTGTAAACTTGTTTATTTGATTATATTATTTTCAATAGTTGGTGTCAAAATGTAAAAGTTTATAAATACTGTTAAGGGATGAAAAAATGTCTTATATTCTTGGGGGGTATGATGGGGGGTAGAACAGATTTTTTTAAAGGTGATAACTACGTAAATATGCAGCTGATACTCACTTATTACTGGGACCAGGTTAGTGTACTGGACTTTAAATTTGAAGGTCCATGGTTGCTGCAAAATTGTGCTCTGCACTCTGTAACTGTTGGTACATCGTAAGCTCAACTTTCACCTATAGTCTATCAGTTCAAAATTAGAGACAGCTAGTGCAGATAGCTGATGTGTACCTTTGAACCTAACAAGCATACATTTGTCACTGTAAGTAAAATATGGAATTTTTTTATTTTGTAATCAGGTTCGGGAAGCTCAAGCCAGGATTGAAGAACTTGAAACTGCTAACGCTCACTTGCAGAAGAGAATAGATAAATTGAAATCAGCAAGAAATGCTCTCGTTAAATAAGCAGGAGAGACTGGTGTTTGTAAATGGTTGAAACTACAGTATTTAGGTTAATAAAAGCTGTGAGCTTTTTGTTAGCCCTCCTGAGAATTTCCAGTATAAAAATGTTTATGTGACACAACATAAGTGATGTCAATAATTCCGTCACTTTTCTGTAGAGTTGTTTTCCAGTTTTAAATGTTTAAGGTACCATGACAGTACAAGTGAAAACCTAAAACTTTGAAAAGAAATCTTTCATTAGTTGTGAAAAATAATCGTCTTTCAAAGAGATACTTGTACACTGAAAGAAGACATCTTAACTATAATAATATCCACTCTTAGATTTGTATATATGTAAGTTAGCCAGTAACCAATAACATTTTATGATATTTTTTTTAATGCTTAACTATATAATTAAGTGAATTTTTTTTTTATTAAAACATATCAAATATATAGGTTAGATTTAGATATTTTAATAAACGCAAGAAAGTCAACGTGGGAAAATGTAAACTTGTATGAACGTTTTTACAAAAATGTGAGTAATGCTACTTACAAAGAGATGGCATCGAGAAAATACTTGTTGTCAAACCTATATATATCATAATCTCATAACTTATTAAAGTTAAATTGGTGCTAAACCATCCCCTCCTTGTAATGAGTTGAAAGAAACGTAAAATGTTTTATAAAATCTATTGAATCAGCTGTTTTTGTTTTCTAATGCGTATAAACTCAAAGGACAAGTATGACAATAAATAGGTAGTTTATAGTTTTGAATATGGGTTCTAAATCAAGCTGTAAAATTTTTTTGATGAGCACGCTATAGTTTTGATAGAGGAGAATAAAATTGACCTATTAATCAATTTAAAACAACTTAAAGATTACTTTTCACAGCAAATATTTTCCCTAGCTGATCAAGGTTGTTGCTAATAGATATCTATATATATATATATATATATATATATATATATATATATATATA